TTTCCATAAATTCACGTAGGAGGTCATGACCTATCGAATCAATCATATTATAAGTGAGCCAGTTAACTAACGATATAATGACAATACATTGATGATACTTACATTATCGTTGATCAGAATTTTGGCAAAATTTAACTGTTAGAACATTTCAGCAACATACACCTAATAATCAGATTTACGAATGAGAAGAAATGTGATAATCATTTACATTTTCTTGATGTTCTGTTAAAGAGAAAATAAAAAGGTTCGATCAGTAGGTGTGTAAGTACATACATGTCTTGAGCTTTGTACCCATTCATTACAAGAAAAACCTAATTGGATGTCTTGCAAGTAGAGCTAGGAAAATATACTCAGACGACACCATAGACAAGTAAATAGGGCTCATTATGTTGATTGGAATGGATTTTTCGCAAAATTTTCTAAAGAAGCTCAACCCCATTGAGTGTATGCAGTAACCATCGAAAACAATCGGTAAGGTTAGGCGAAATCCCTAGATTGATCAGAATCAAACATGATCACCCTTGGATGCATGCCGTGCGGTTCACATGTTAGGCGTTCGTGCGTAGAACCGTAGGTCGTTGTTTCGGATCCTCTGTGTAGTATGAGCATCGCTGTTGAGTCTCATACCAGGACGAAACGGCTGTCCAGTGCTTCCATGTTTCTGATGGTGGTCTAACAATTATTCATCCAAGATTTCAGTAATGAACAATAATCTCAATAACTCTGTAGCGAAAAACCTTTAATATGATCGATAATTTGATATAGGATCCCCGATTCATACAAACGACAAATAATATAAAACAAAAGAAATATATTGGCGATAAGTACTACGTCTCAATAAATAGAAAATGACAGATTAAAAAAAGACTTCAGGCTGGTATATTGCTTGATATGACCTTTATTCAACTGAAAAAATAGTGGTTTTTGTCAGCCAATGACATTTAAATGATATTACTTTATTAGATTTTTGTAAAGATTACTTTGATACACTTTAAGTAAGTGAATTTCTTTTGCATAAAGACATTTAGATTCGTTGACCTACTAAAATGTTCTAACTTCAAAAAGATGGGAAAATGCACGTACTATCTGTCGGTTAATTTAGCTCTATTTAAAAAGTATACACGACCATTTATAGTTTATAAAAACACTGTATGGTTTATTTTAACAGTTAAGACATTTATATTTTTTCGTTTACATTAGAGAAATATATATGACTAGTGGTGTCGCTGTAAGTTTTTAACTTGTTCCTAACAACATCAATGAACTCTGAGCCCACAAGTCGAAAATGAAAGAACTAGACTAATTAGGACGATATTCTCACATTTATCTATCAGTCACAAAATATTTCAGTTTTCCAAGACTATATAGAGCCTAAAATAAACGACATTCAAAAACTTCCAACCCGTTCGATTGGTTTAATAAAGTTCAGTTACAGTAAGATTATGTAGTAGAAACAAGTTAAACCTATGATTAACCCTCATTAAAGTGTAGAGATAGGACAAATACATCAGAATAACCTTGTGATCTTCAAGCCACTTTTCAGCCTATGAGTAGTCTGTACAAATGAAATTTTTTTTAGCTTTTTGAAGTTTGTCATTTGTTTTCGGATCTTAATATTGTAGGAATATCGCTATATAACCTTACTGAATGCAAATTTGTTCAAGCCATGAACTGTTCTTATAGTCATAAACAGCTTTTAAAAAAAGTCATCATCGCCCATGAAATATTCATTTGCATATTTTCTGGGGAGTTGAAAAGATGAACCTATAAGTTAACGATAATGGTCCCCATATTTATATGATATGTTGGAGATTTCTCTATAAACGAAGTAAATTAAAACAGAAACCGATTGGTTTAGTACTATGTTCAATCTTCATAGAAGACAAGCATTCCATATGTTTAACAGACATTTTTACCATGCAAAAACGAAAGGTAGATTTCCTCTAAACAATTTTAACGTTATATTGTAAACATATTTCTATTGCTGTTTTTATGTGACGAAAGATAAGTTATTCATCCTTGAACTTCATATAAAATCAAAAAGTATTTTTTTCGATTCTGATTAGCTTAACAAAATATTATAGTTTAGACATCAACTTACTCCACGCTTAAATGGGATTTTAACTCCTTTCTAATAAAACTAGGAAAAATGAAATCTGACTTTCATTCTAGGCCAGTTGCTTGTCGTTTTGATATGTGGCTTTGAAATATTACTTGATTTAAATATTTATAATTAACAGCTTTAATTTCTTATTCTGTTTTCAGCCGACTGCTCATTAGTTTGTTTTTTCAATCTTTTCCGGTTAAGAATGGAGCATTGGTTCTTTAATCAAACTGTCGGTTAAGTGTCTGTTAATGGTTACATAGAATTCAGAAACCAATCGTACAGTGAAAACACTTTCACCATTAGTGTGAGGATCGTCGAGCGGTAATGAAACTCGAGTGGTGGACTACTGTTCACAAAAGTTTTTAGTAAGTTTTTGGTAACACACTACTTGTAGGTAGTTCCGAAAGAAATACGAAAATTAAATGAAGTACGGTGAACGAATTACATCATACCTATTTCTATACCAAAACTAATAATGTGATTTGGAATAATGAATTCTTTGCACTTTTTTTATATGGAATTTTCGCTTCAACTCATACTGTTGAGAGAAGTTATTTTACAATCAACAGATTCAGACTATTAGTACCCTGGGAATTTTGAACTCTGAATAGCTGCCAGTTTCCTGTTGATTAATTTTCGCGAGATCTTATCACTTCTCGATTTCCCTACAATTCTCTTGTGTTCTTCCTATCATGTTTCAGCTCTTTTTAAAGATTTAAGACTCATGAATAACACAAAATTTGATACATTTCGGTATGAATTCCTCTACGTTCATCATAATTAACCATTAGCAAATCAAAATGTTAAGTGCATCCGTGACGTTAAAATTGAAAATGTTAACCACCTTTTTCAGTCACCAGTGTTTAAGTTTAATAGATAAAACAAAGCTAGACAAGTTACACTGAATCTCAAGGATTCTGATAAGGTGGAAGATGGCATTCTGTTGGTTAAATGTGTTGTTAACGATTTTGAATCGGCGTCTACACGACTACACGTATATGAATTATTTATGGAACAAATCAGTGGGGTGTAAGATATTTAACCGGGAGGACGTCGAAATATTGGAGGAAGGAAACGAAAAAGTCGGAGAATATTTAGAAGTTCGGGACTCTGGTGATGTATCAGTCAACAGAACTAGCGAAATCAATTGAACCTACCAACCATTTAGGAAAAGGATAAACAACTGCAAGGTCAGAAATTAGGTAGAAGGTCAAGGGAATCAAAAACTATGCAAACAACGGCCGCACAACTATGGACAACAACCAAACAAATTTTAGCTAGATAGAATAACGTGCTGGTCGATTGTGGAGATATTCTAATACACCATCTCTTATTAAAGTGGGTTAAGCCACTCAACTTAAAGAACACAATACCTTCAAATTCTTCATCTGGAGTTACAAATACTCTCCATCAACTCAGTGATTTACTTAGTAATTAAATAGAATTAAAATAATTATCTATCAAAAATACTTCCAATCACATCAGTTTATCAAGATTTTGTACATTTTGTTGATTTATATATATTCACAAAATAAATTCAGGCTTCAAATGATTACAGCATAATTCTGGGGAAAAAAATAAATGAACGAGTATCAAACATAATAATACAGTACTTTATAATATTTCATAAAAGCAACGTATAAATTGAACAGAATATCTAACTTCGATATGTATAGCTAGTTAAATAGTTCAAATTAAGAACATCAGAAATGCTTGGAATAAAATTAGTATTTACAACATGAATACCAGTTAGAAAAAGACAGACAGCATTTAGTCAGTTAATTCATCGGCTAGATCAGATTGGCCAAAAATATGAGATATAAGATTGATACATAAATTGAAAAATTCAATATCTTCAGCGACAACACTGCATTGTTTCACCCTGTCATCAGTTGTATTACATGATAATTGTTTGAAATCCTGTGAAAACAAAGGTTAGATATTAGATCTACTTCTTACCTGTCTTAATTTGCGGCAACGTTTGACGATAATGCGAAGATTATGGCATAAATCTGGATGAAATGGTGGCTCCAAAGCCATTAGAAGAGAAAAAATCCATACATTCTGTTGACAAAAAAAAACTGGCTGTAAATTCTTTATAAACAAATAGTTATCGCATAGGGAAGTAAACAGAACTTTTGTTGAATCATGAAATGTTTGCTCATAACAATCACTTCTTGTTTAAACAATGAGTACATGAACATGAACAAATAAACATATAAGGAAGTTATTTAGAGGTTAACTACTAAGTTACGGTACAGTTTGAACGAAATTTGGTAATGTAAGCACGAGAGAAAGTAATGATAGGAAAGACAAGTAAGTGACAGATAAATCATCAAAACTCGTGGATCATTAGCACCTACACTTGGTGCCCATGTACAATTCTGGTATTTAATATACTGACTTCAATGAGTTATATAAACTAATTCATAATCCTTTTGTCTCAGTTAGTTGATAGTTGGTGTAGTAGTGGTGGAAAGGAATAGTTGTGAACCAGGAAAATCAATTCCTAATTGAATATAACATTCGATTGAATTCTTGTTTTAGATACTGTTTTTAACAGCTCATCATTGACTGATTCTATTAAAATTTACTAACTGTTTCTTATTTTTAACTTCAGATTACTTTTGCTGTAACAGTTTTCATAAAAGAAATTAGTATATTATCTTGTTGAGATTTTCCACTGTTTTGATAGCCATTCAACTAATTAGTATTGAGATATACTTAACTAACTTTTACTTGCTAGTAACATTCCGAATCCAACGACATATATGAGAACACAAAGACTAGTGATATGAATTTATTTGACATGCAAAGTAGATCAAAATGATGCATGAATACACGACTTTTTTAAAAAATTCGTCTACAGTTAGATTTATATAATTCGTGCTGAGTAGTATTTGATGTCAATTTTACGATATATATTTACAATATTATACAATTAACCATCTATAACCAACAGATTAAAACTAATTGACTAATTCAGATAATAACTCCTTCACAAAATGTGATTACAGATAACCAGTTTCATATATTCATTGCAGTTCACTTGATGAAGTCGTTTTTCGCCAGATCAATTTCTTTTTTTAACACATAAGCGGTACTTTTATGTTTAGATTGAGAACAGATACTTGACAGTTGATGTCTCTAAGTACAGAAAAGTAACTGATGAAGATGTGGTAATCTTTACTAATTCGATTCAATGAAAAATGTTAGTGAAACTCTATAAGATATCAAAGATGTACATTGAATGACATGGCTCAAAATCGTTTGCAACGGTGCAGATGCATCCATTGTCTTCTATCAAATTCTAATCTTCTAAATTCCTCATGACCTTTCACTTTTTAAATTGATCTCACTGAATTACACTTCTCGAATCATATCTTTGAACTCGAATCTTCTCCATTGTCGCTAATATTTATACTACTGCTACTATGGGATTCGGTTTGACAATTCGATCTATGTGCTGATGTGGTATAGTAACTTGAACTGATGTACGTGTGTACGAAGTTCTACGTTGTAGCTGACTGACTGACTGAATGATGCACATTTTTATTTGATTATAATTTTGTATACATCCATCATTGTTAAGGCAAGGATAAGAATCCATAACAAAGGAGGATTTTATTACTTTGTGAACTAATTTTTGAATATTAAAATCAATGAGTATTATATCAATCGATGGATAGCACACAATCATGCAAAGCGTGAGCGAGTGATTGCTGTTTATGAGACTTTATTATTTGACACAGGCTGTCAAACGATTTGAAATCAAAAACAAGACCAGTAGCTTGAAGAGTAGATTCGTTTGTGAGATAAAATGACATGTTCTTATACAAAATACTAACACAGCAAATATGATAAAGCATCATAAACGAATGAAAAATATCAGTTTATAGGTCACTTATTCTCCAAACAATTGACACCTGACTATTAGTCTTAACTCTTGTCCAACATATAGGACTAATATCAGTCAGTCAGTCAGTCAAGTGCAACGTAGAACTTTGTACATAAGTACATCAGTTCATGTTGCCATACCACATCAGCACAGAGAAGTAATCGTCAATTCAAATCCAATAGTAGAAGAGGTAGTAAGGGAATTAGAAATAATCGGAGAGGTTAGGATTAGAAGATACTATTCAAGAAGTATGATTCAGTGAGATAAGTTTAGAAAGTCAAAACTAGAGGTGTTGAAGAATCCAGAATATTAGGATTTGAGAGAACGCAAAGAATAAATGCACCTGCGCCATTGCGAACGATTTTGATCAATGTCATTCAAGGTCTCTAACCATCGATTATTATCATCTCGCGGACCCCAACCAGGTAGTCGACAATTACCGACATGGCTCAGTCCACTAGTCAATGACTTCATGGATTTCTGCCATGTTTTGGTTTGGCCACCCCTAACTTTCTTCCAACCTATTCCTACACTACAAAACAAGGCTCGACGAGGCAGCCGGTGGTTGGGCATACGCAACACATGTCCCAACCACCTCAACTGGTGAAGTTTCAATACTTCATCGATTGATCTGCCATTCTTACCTAGCACCCGATTCCTAATAACAGCGTTGCTCACTCGGGTGTCCCACGATATACGAGCAATGCTTCGAAGACACCTATGATCGAAAACCAATAACCTACGAATATCTTCTACTCTCACTGGCCATGTTTCACAGCCATAAAGTAAGACGGAGCGAACTACTGCGCAGTACACTCGTCCTTTAGTCAGCAAACGGATATCTCGCCTACGCCATAAGTGACGCAGGTTGGCAAAAGCCAATCGAGCCTTCTGTATCCGTGCTGAGATTTCGTCAGTCACCAGGCCATCGGCACTGATGAGACTCCCAAGATAAGTGAAGCGGTCTACACGTTCGACTACTTCACTCCCTATCACTAGTTCAGGTGCCGATGCAATCCAGTCTTGAAGCAACATTTTGCATTTCGAGGGGGAAAACCGCATCCCGAACATGCTTGCATTGTTGCTTAGGGTAGTCAGAAGACTCTGCATTTTGTCAGCATCTTCACCAAGTAGGACAATGTCATCGGCATATTCTAAGTCAATAAGCGAGCCACCTGGTAGAAGGTCTACTCCTGAAAATTCAGACGAGGATAATGTTATGTCTAGGAGCATGTCTATGATAAAATTAAACAAGAATGGAGAAAGTGGACATCCCTGACGGACACCACTTGATGTAGAGAATTCCGGTGACAGTTCGCCATAAGCTCTCACTCGACCAGTGGTGTTCGAGTAAAGAGCTTGTATAAGGTTAATGTACTTCTGTGGTACACCTTTCAATGACAGACACTGCCACAGAACCTTACGATCAACAGAGTCAAATGCCGCCTTAAGGTCCAGGAAAACAACTATTGTAGGACGCCTAAATGTGTGTCTATGTTCCAGGACCTGTCTGAGTGTGAAAATGTGGTCTATACAACCACGTCCAGGTCGAAAACCAGCCTGGTTTTCTCGAGTCTGCTCTTCACGAGCTTTCGTTAAGCGTCGAAGTATTATTGAGGCCAGTATTTTAGATACTATATTAGTTAGACTTATTCCCCTGTGATTGTCACAAGAAGACTTTTGTCCTTTCTTATAGATTGGGACAATCAGTGATTCAGACCAGTCGGATGGGATTACGTCCAGTTCCCAGATTCTAGCTAAGATCTCAGTCAACCTAGCTGCTAAAACTGGACCACCATCCTTAAATATCTCAGGGGTCAGTCTATCAGGACCTGCAGCTCGTCCTCGTTTCAGATTTCCTAACGCTTTCTCAACGTCATTAAGACTAGGGGGACTTAGGTCGATTTGCCATTCAGGATGACTGGAGATCGTGGGTAACCGAAGAGTGGCTCGTGGCCAGTTGAACTGATCCCTAAAGTGTTCTGCCCATCGATCCAGTCTCCTGGATTGAGAATGGATAATAAGACCATCCTTTTCCGAGATAGTTTCACTCACATTCGGGTTCTTAATACCAGTTTCTTTAATAAGACGGAAAAGTTGTCTAGTGTTGCCGATCGCCGCTGCCTTTTCCATCGCTTTTGCTTTTGCCACCCACCACTGTTCACGGTCGTTACGCAGACTTTTTATAAGTCTGCGCCTAAGCTGACTACGCTCTTCATCATGCTCAGAGTCAGGTGGGATGCGTTTTCGAGCATCCATCAGTTCGGTGGATGCGACTGAAATCCACGGCTTCATCCTAGCCTCATGGTTTACCTTCCTAGCAGATATCACTGCTGTTTCCACAGCCTTTTTGATATCATACCAACCTGCTTCTGGATGGGAATCGCTTGCATGGTTGCTTAACTCTCTTTCTAGTTGCTCCTGAAATATTTTCTTGGCTTGATTATCATTAAGTAAAACCCTAAGAGGCTTTCTTACGGTGTCTTTCCTACGTCCAGTAAGCCTTAAACAGATACGAGCTCGCACTAGAGCATGATCTGAATCTAAACATGTGCTCCAGAACGAGCGACAGTCTTCTATCGAACCCCTCCATCGGTGGCTGATGGCGATGTGATCTAGTTGAGTCCAACGTTGAGACGACTTTGGAGGTCGCCAGGTCAACAGATGCTTTTCCTTATGCCTAAAGTTGGTGTTCGCTAAGGATAGGCGGTTATCTGAGCATAGTTGCAACAGACGGTCGCCATTGTCTGTTCTCTCAGTCGCTACACCATAACATCCACCTAGATGTCTTTCCTTTTCACTCAGTCTACCTACTTGAGCATTAAAGTCACCAGCCATTATTACTATATCAGAGCGCCTAGCTTTTTGGAGGAGGTCCGAAAGCTTTCTGTAAAACTCATCTTTAACCTCGTCTGCACTGCAGTCAGTGGGGGCATAGGCAGATATGACGAAGAGGCAACGGCGAGTGTCCCTATCCTTCCGAGTCCTTACTGTCCCGTTTAGTCGGACAGCGCACAAACGGCTATCTACTGGGATCCAGTCTAGGAGAGATAATTCTGCCCTAGGACTCAACGCTATGCCTACGCCAGCAAGACCCCTGGAAGCAGCATCAGGGCTACCGGATACACGAAGAGTAAATCGAGCTGCTTCTTTATTTTGAAAAGGTGAAATCAGGTTAATGACTTTACTAGGATCCTGTATGCGCGTTTCCGAGACGCAGCACACATCGATGGAACGAGATTCTAAAGTCCTAGCTAATGATGCCTGTTGCCCTATTTGACACAATGTCCGTACATTAAAAGCTCCAATATGTAGTCTAGAACGGGGTTTCAGGAGACCAGGAACGACGTTTCGTGATCTCGCTTCGTCTGCATTAGCGGTGCAGTGAGAAAAGGGAGTGTGAGTACAGTTAGTCGTAGAGGTAGGAGAGACATTAGGGGGTGTAGGAAGGATTTGATTTTGACCGATTTGGTCTCGCGTGCTGTTACGGGTATGAGGGCGGTTGTCACTTCCCGGCTGCCCACACCGTGGAAGGTTGTTTCTTGAGGGACCTGAAAAGGAAGATGGATTAGTGTTGGTGCGTGACCGCAGAGCCCAAGGGACAACTGCTTGAGGCCGGTCACGCACGGCCTTTTGATGAGACGTTGTTTGAGGATTAGCTCCGTTCTTAAAGGCCCTTAGTGGGCACCCTTACCCAGGGAGACGGAAATCCGTGAGTTAGGGGGAGTGTGACATTTTTAGGGCCGACCTTTTCTAACCCTTCCTTCCTTGTGAGAAGGCAGCATCGCTGCAGATGCTGGTTGTCCGAGGGAAACACCTTACTGCTGTCACACTCCTCTGCAGTCAGCAGTACGACTTCGCCCTCAGACCTTGGGTAGCTGCTTTTAGTCTCATCGTTCTCCAATCGACCAGCCTGGCATGGTAGGACCTGCAGGAACATATGTTCCAGCCAGTATAGCTCGGTTGGGTCATCACGATAGGCAAGCCCGACCACCACGTCAAGGTAGCAGCTTAGGTCGGGTACTAATATTACCATCCAATTGTATTACCGAAATATGTAATTGGACTATTATAACCTTTGTTTCTTAATTTTGAATTAGGTCTTCGATTACTAATTAGAAAATTATAACAGATCATTCTTTTGAATATTTCTTTGGAATTAAATTAACTTACCAATTTAGAATTCCACTGCTTTTTTGTACAAATAGATGCAACCAAATCAATCAATGTCATAATTTCGGACTAAGTAATGTGTTAGATACAAAAATTTAATCCTACCCTGCTGCGTTGAGCAATCCAAGCTAAAGAGGGAGAGTGTTCAAGTATTGCTGTTTTAGTCATTGGAATTACAGTTTTGGTCTGAAATAAATTATAAAAATATAGGCACTGAAGTATTTTATAAACCGTTGAAATATAAACAAGTACAACTAATTGGATCGGACTAATAGTTTCATTGGGTTTTTCTAATTCTACCCGTTAATCCAGTTAGTATGGTGAAATTTAGGGCACTAACAATCAATAAGGAAGGTACGATTTTGAATAGTTTTTCACGAACCAGATACCTTAGACCTTTTCAAACATACAAATATATCCTTATCAGACTAGTAGACGAGTGGTTAAAACGTTTAACTTCGAACCACCCGGATGAATGTCCGAATATTGGCCCATCTATTTCGTTCGGGTAGCCAGGTGATATCACTAACTCTTACACACGAAGTGTAGCTCAAAACCCAGCATAAGAAACAGTACTTGGTATATGAACTGCATCTATCCCCCAAGCTAGTATATACATATCTTTTTATATTTCGTTTCAATATCATGTTAATGAGTCAATCATTAGCAATGAAGAACCTGAGAAGAAAGTCAACATCATACAGAATTCTTATGACGGACTATACTGCGAAATGGTGCACGGAAGAAAGCTCACAGACTCGTTCTAAGTGACGACTGGAGTTAGACAAGGTTGCTTACTCTCACCCTTTATATTTCTTCTGGTAGTTGACTGGATCATGGAAACTTCATCTCAGGGGGGGCACATAGTAAGGTGGACAGCTCCAATGCAGCTGAACGATTTGAACTTCACAGATCAAACCTAACTCTTCTACCCCACACACAGCAACAAATGCAGGTGAAGACGGTCACTGTAGTGACAGCCTCTGCAGCATTAAGCCTCAACGTGCGCAAGGGAAAAAGTAGGCTTCTCTGATACAGCACAGTGAGAACTAATCAAATCACACTTGATGGAGAAGCTTCGGGAGAGGTGGAAACTTTTACATAGCTGGGTAGCATTATTGATAAACAAGGTGGATCTGTTGGAGATATGAAGGCACAGGCTGGTAAATCAAGATCAACATTCCTAAAACTGAAATATTCGGAATTGAAGGTCTTAGTTTTTGGTATAAATACCAGGATATTTCTATTGTAAGGAACAGCAACTTGGTGAACTACGAGACCCATCATTAAACACCATCAGCAATAACCTTGTGTGGCAACGAACACACCAGCTTACAGGTGAGGAAGGAATTAGGAGAAATCACTAGAGGTGGATTGGGGAAACTTTGTGGAAATCCCCAAACTGCGTGACAAAAAAGCCTACGGATATTCTCTACCTTCAAAAATCATACACTGCAGCCACAAAGTAAAATAGAGCGGGTTGTAGCTTAGTACACATTTACCTTGATATTACTTAATCGATTTCACAAGCAGGTTTGTCGCTTCTTAAACATTAAGACGAAGAACCACCTATATCAACCAAGAGTCAAACTAGTCTCTAGGTAATAACCCGATCGATTTTAACATTGATAAATGTATCACTTTGAAACTATCCTATAATGTACTAGGGCTTTCCCTTGATTCAAGCTAGCTATGATTTTTCCGACTTCGCTAGTAGCCCGAAGGTTTGTACCAATTTCTCAACCACGGTGTTGATGTTTTGTGAAATTTCCCTGTTATTCACATATCTTAAATCAAACTACTATAACCAGACTTTGTCGTTCTAATTAACTGTTGTGTTACAAGCATTAAAAAATCAGTGAGCCAGTAGTCAATAATAAATATATGTAACTCATTTGCTAGATACAGGATTATGTACTCGGTTGTAATACAACTTCGCAGTCTAATGATAACATATTGATGCCTAAAACGAAGTAGGCGAACCAGTGTTCGGACGCGTGATCTAAAGGTTGTAAGTCGACTAGTCTATTTCAAACCATTTCTACCAAATAAGATATATTATTAAATCACTTAATACAAAACTTAATTTACAAAATATTAAAAGTGTATTTATCTTTTACTGTGAGAAAATATACACAACTAAATACTACAAATAGATGTTAGCTTATACTGCTTTCTAACTACTTATAGAGTAGTGCTGAATAGCCGATTACATATATGAAGCCTTTAATAATGTGATGCAGTCACTAGAAAAAATGTAATAGCTCTAAACTTGAAACAGCTTTGATAGTAGGTGTGCGATATCCCCAGCTTTGGAGTTATTACTCATTAAAATAGTTTTGATATGAATTTACATGACAAATATTGAGAAGCTGAATATCAGATACGATCGCTTACTATTTGATCGGAATTTCTCAAAACCAATGATTTCAAAAACTGATATTCCTACAGAAAAATAAGTAAAAATGAGACAGTTCATTACATCGACAGCTTTTCGGAAATGAATAATTTGGTTTTCTTGTGAACGCTTTGATATTTTTGTGGAAACGACTTTGAAATTTTTCTGAGTGTCATGGTCATTCAACTTGGCAGAATCAATTGTTGAGGTAGTTGTTTGGTCAACCATATTTGTAGGTAAGTTATGACAACATAACACACTCGGAAATGATGAAGCTTGATAACTGCCATCAACATTAGTTATCGGAACAAACTCACCGCACAAATTTTAAGTATTCATCAGGTGATGTAAGGGCCTTTTCGTGATTGGGTGGGTCATTTAAATCAAAATCTGAGACAGGTAGTGCTTGCACAAGCAAACCCATATCTGAATCCTCTGAATCGGACATGTGACGGATTGTATTAAATTGGGATTATTTGCTCTACATTAAATAGGAAATACGTATGAGACCAGAGAGATTATAAAACGTTTATGTAATTACTTTTCGTTAGTATTTTACTGCTTCCCATTTAATCTATTTTAAAGGCATACAAAAACACTTCAGAAGGGGACAAGAAAAGAGGTAAATTAGATCATTATCAGGTCTTACGGTACTTTTCATTCATATTATTCTAATTTCGGCAATATTTCAGAAACGAATTGTTCATATCTAACCCAACAGTGGGAACCAGAGTTTCTTAGTTCTAACATTATTTATTCACTACACAAACGATAATTCAGGAGCAGCTTTGGAGATAACTGATGTAAACATTACTTGCAACTTTCCGAATAAACAGACGAGACCACTCTGCTGAATTTGTGGTTATTTGGTAAGGTAGCTTTCGAACGGATTGCGCTTACTGCACGTGGTGAAGTATTAAATATGCACAAAAATTTCCCATTCATGTACACATGTGCTGATGGTCCAGTTTCGATTACAGTTACTATTGTAAGACCGTTTTTACTTAGGAAAATGTAATAGTGAAGCATTTTGTACGAAGGTCGTCACAACACAGCAGTTTTAACGGGTCCCAATTATTCTATACATTCTTGCGAGGTAATATGCACCAACCAGATTTAGTAGCTTTAGGACTGAATATACGAAAGCAATCGGTGAAAAGACCACATGAGACGTTAATTTTCTTAGTTAACACTTCCATACAGCGTGAGTGTCTGGGTTGAGCCATGCGATCCAGAATTCGAGTTAGCAGAAATCGGGCTAGTAATTATGTTCATTGAATGAACGTCTACAGAGGAAGCCTCGTCTCTTTAAAATATATCTCGATATTAGAACATGATTATTTGACTGAGGAATTTAACCATACAGTTATCACTTCTTGATCTTTTTTTTGATTTTTACAGGAAAATTATTTTAATTTTTCTATAGCGTATCTTGATACCTACCAATCTAAACATTTTGTAGGAATTAAATCTCTGATTTCCAAATGACCCAGAAACATATGATTGTCAAAAGTTAAAAATAAGTAAGTTTCGATTACGCCGTGAGTATTTAAAACCATTTTTTGCAATCACCTGTAGGAGAAAGCAGGTTATATAGGTCCTAACTTTTTTGAAGAATGATTCCGTGTTCTGACCGAAGCAGAACCCGATCGGTTTTGCGAAATTTTCTAACCATCTAGTTACTCTGACTATATTAGGTTAGAAATTCTTTTTGCCAAGCTTTTTCGGTCACCCTTACTTCTAAGTTAGCATTTCTGAAGGTATGTACTTGTATTTAAAACCATATCCCAAGCAAACACAAAAGGAGAAAAATGAGAGCTTGGTAGAAATGTTGATTCCCATCCTAACGTCAGATATTCAGGGGAAATTCGTAGGCATAGGGGTGTACAGTACCTAATTTGAATAAGCCGCGGTTGAGTACATGAAATTCTATCCAATATCTTTTTGCACCAGCTTGAATATACCAATTGGTTTATTCGCTCTCGATTATTGTTCTTTCGGTACGGTTTCAGGTGTTTGATAGTGTCCAATGAATATGGGTTTAGCCAGTCGACTGTTTAATTCTAGTCAGTTGGCAGTTGTTTCTGAGTTTGTATGTCCCGTGATTTGAATGAATACGTTTGTTTCAGGGCAGTAGGGTTTCTGGACAACAGCAGCTGTCACGTTACCAGGTCGTAAATCAGTTAGTTGCAATGTGGAGAATTATAAGGAGAACAGTATGATGCTAATGAGAAGTGGATTTCAGAACAAAGCTAATAAGTGGATAGTTTAGTTAATGAATTGGTAGTGAAGATTGTTTGAGAGGAGTAAATTGTAAGCAGGGGAGAGAAAACACAGCTAATAAGCGAGATAGATTAGGCTGGTTGTCTGAGGAGATGGTAACAATAACGACAAGCAAATCTCAAGGCATGCATCATGTACAGCTTTTCCATGAGGAAGATGGTAGTTTACATGTGAGTATATATTTGTCAAGTCACTTCTTAAAGCTGTCCACTGAGGGAGAGGGCTGTGGTCACCTCAGCTGGAAGAGCATTCCAAGTTGCCGCGACTCTTGGAAAGAAAAATGTCCACAAACCTGATTGTTCGCTCCTTGGTGCGTAATCGTTTGAGAAACACCTCGACGAAGGTGGTGGTAATGAGTCGGTAAGATGCTCACACGAGATTTACCTAAAAACAACTTTATGGACAATTTATAACCTTAGTGATCATCAGTAACACATGGTACCTTTGGGCAAGTCTTCCGTAGATAAGTTTCAAAAGTGTAATGACACGAACTTCGGGACACGATATCACAACCGCATGAACAAAACTCCTCAATAAACTTTTGTTCACTAAATGGATGAAGTCCATTATATAATACATTATGTTTACGAAACGACACGTTCTATGGGTGTAACATAACTCCAACCATGCTTAGGAATTGATCTTTCCCTCGACCATAGCTGCTACCTTGACGTGGTGGTCGGGCTTGACTATCGTGATCACCAAACCGAGCTGTATCGGCTGGAACATATGTTTCTTAAGGTTCTACAATGCCAAGCAGGTCGACTGGAGAATGATGAGACTAAAAGCAGCTACCCAAGGTCTGATGGCGAAGTCGTACTGCTGACTGCAGAGGGGTGTGACAGCAGTAAGGTGTTTCCCTCAGACAATCAGACTCTGTAGTGATGCAGCCTTCTCACACGGAAGGAATGGTTACAAAAGGTCAACCCTAAAAATGTCACATCTCACCCTACCTCATGGATTTCCGTCTCCGTGAGAAAGGGCTGCCCAATAAGGGCTTTTAAAAAGGGTTCAGCAAACACTTTAAATACTCATAGAAATTTCGTGCGTGACCGGCCTCAAGCACTTGTTACTTGGGCTCCGCAGTCACTCTCCCAGGTCTTCGAGACCGACGCAAATCTACTTCCCTTTTCATATTCCTCAAGAAACAACCATCCACGGTGTGGGCAGCCGGGAAGTGACAACCGCCCTCATACCCGTAACAGCACATGAGACCAAATTGTTCATAATCAAATCCTTCCTACACCCCTTAATATCTACCTTCTCTCCACGATTAACTCTTCTCACATTCCTTTATCACACTGCACCGCTAATGCAATCGATGTGGGTTCACGAAACGTTATCTCTATTCACCTGAAACCTCATTCTAAATTACATGTTGGAGCATTTAATGTACGGACATTGTGTCAAATAGGGCAACAGGCATCATTAGCTAAGAATTTAGAATCTGACGCCATCGGTGTATGCTGCGTCTCCGAAACGCGCACATAAGATCCCAGTAAAATAATTAATTTGATTCCACCTTGTCAGAATAAAGAAGCAGCCAGATTTACTCTTCATGTAACTCGGAAGCTCAGATGCTGCTTCCAGGGGTCTCTTTGTTGTAGGTATAGACTTCAGTCCTAGAGCAGAACTAGCTCTACTAGACTGGATTCCAGTAGATGGTCGATTGTGCTCTGTCCGATTAAAATGGACGTTAGGGATTCGGAAAGTTAGGGAAACTAGCTTGCGCCTCTTCGTTGCCTCCGCCCACTGACTGCAGTTCAGACGAGGTGAAAGATTAGATTTACAGAAAGCTTTCGGACTTACCACAAGAAGTTAGGCGCTCTGATGTAGTAATAATGGCTGGTGACTTCAAAACTCAAGTATTTAGTTTCAGTGAAAAGGAAAGACACCTAAGTGGATCTTATGTTGTCGCTGCCCAAAGAATTGATAACGGCTACCGTCTGTTACAGATATGTTCGGATAACCACTTATTCCTAGCAATCTTAACTTTAAGCATGAGGAAAAACACCTCGTGACTTGACGACACCCGAAGCCCACCCAACTATGGACCCAAATAAATCAGTTCGCTATAAGCCATCGGTGTAGAGGCTCTGTTGAGAACTGCCGCTCATTCTGGAGCACTTGTTTAGTCTCAAACCATGCTCTAGTGTGAGCGCGTAATTATTAGAGGCTTACTGGACGTAGGAAAGGCGCCTCAAGGAAACCTGTTAGGGTTCTAATTAATGATAAGGAAGCTAAGAATGTATTTCAGGAGCAGCTATAAAAAAAACAGTTAGATAACAGAGTAGGTGATTCTCATTCCGAGGCAGCTTGGAATGATATCAAAAAGGTTGTGGTAACAGCAGTGATATCTGCTAGTAAGGTAAACCATAAGGTTAGGAAGAAGCCATGGATTTCAGTAGCATCTACAGAACTGATAGATGTTCGGAAACTCATCCACCTGGCTCTGAGCACAATGAGGAGAGGAGTCAGCTCATGCGCAATCTGATATAAAGCCTTCTCAATGATCGTGCGATTGTGGGTAGCGAAAGCGAGGGATATGAAAAAGGCAAGGAAACCAGTATTAGTAACCCGAATTTGAGCGAAACTATCTCGGAAAAGAATGGTCTTATAATCCATCCTCAATTCAAGAGATTGGATTGATGGGTAGAACATTTCATGGATCAATTCAGTTGGCCTTCGGCTTATGGCGAACTGTCATCGGAATTCTTTACTTCAAGTGGTGTCCGTCAGGGACGTCCACTTTCCCCATTCTTGTTCAATTATGCCATAGACATGCTGCTAGATATGACATTATCTTCATCTGAATTTTCAGGAGTAGATCTTCTACTAGGGGGCTCGCTTATTGCCCAAGAATATGCCAATGACATAGTTCTATTCGGTGAAGACGCTGACAAGGTGCAGAGTCTTCCGACTATCCTGGGCAACCATGCAAACCTGTTCGGGATGCGGTTTCCCTCACCCCCTCCGAAATGTTGCTTCAAGATTGGGTTTCATCGGTACCTGAACAAGTTATAGGGATTCTCATCAGTGCCGATGGCCTGGTGACTGACGGAATCTCAGCACGAATACAGGAAGCTCGATTGGCTTTTGTCAACCTGCGTCACTTATGTTGAGAGCGAGATATCCGTTTGCTGACTAAAGGATCAGTGTATTGAG